AATATGTTGCACAATAACAGTTGATTTTTTTGGTTTTAAATGCTATAATCTCAATATCGCTACTTTTCATTCCCCCTCAAATTCATAGGAAATGTTGCGTCCAATACCCGTGGCACTAGCGTCATGCACGAGATTTTTTGAGGCCATGTCTGCGATGAGAGAATCATTTGCGACTCTTCAAGACCTTCGAGTAGGTAACTCTGCAGTTTCATTACCAACAACACCAGGGGGAGGTAACGAAATGACGCATAGGGACTCAGATTGTGTGACTCCACCTCAAGGGAGAATAGAGTCAAGCTTCGACGACTTAGCAGTTCAGACAACAAGGAGACAAAACAATGATCAAGATGAAGCAGAAGAAGAAGATGAGGATGGTAATAACAATTCAAACCGTAGACTATCTTGGCCTCCTTCTGTAAAAAAGAGTAGCGTTTAAAGAGTTTGCACTTGTCCAGTCTTTAATTGAGGTTTTTGATATCTCGATTTGTGTTTTGTTTTTATCAGCATTAGTGTCCTTAGTGGATTTGAATCTAAATCTTTGAGTGAAACTTAACAGTGTATATCATTTCAACCTTGGGTTTCCAAGTATATATATTATGAGTAAGTGCTGTGGCCTGTGGGTTTTAACATTTTCCTATTTAGATAAGAAGTTCAATGTTATCGACAGTGTCTTCGTTTAGTTGTATCTAAGAATTGCACGTGTTAATTTTCATCTGATTGAAGTATGAACTAAGTGAATTTCATGAAATGAGAGGGGTGTGTGAACTATGAAATGTGACATGAGCTATATGGCTATGATAAAATTAAATTTTTCATTAGACGTCGGGATTGCTTTAGTCGAGAATGCTAGATAATCTAATATAGGATGGCTTGATAGGTCTATAAATAAATTTAAATTCGAAAGCACAATGCACTCCACTTATAAACTCGTATGGTCTAAATGATGTTAAAGAGTGTAGACCATGAATTTAAGACAACTTTAATTGAGTCCCGCACCTAAGAATATTTTTAGCAACCTAGCTAGTGTAATCTAGCGCGGTCTGGTCTTAATTAGAAGTTGATCGTGAATTTAGCAAAACTTAAAAAAGAATTTTTATTTGCCTACATACAAAAAATTAATATGCATATGAGAAGGCTAATAAAGTATTCGAAGTTGTGTATGATGGAAAACTATCATTATAGAAATGAAAGAACTAGTTGAATCTTTGGTGATCGTTCTCAAAACACACACATTAGTTGTTGTTTTGATATACGTAGAATGCATATGTAACGTGAATCCGCAATAATGCATCATCATATAGATAATTAATAATAGAGAGACATCACTTGCGTTGAGTTGGTTTCTTCTCAATTATTATTATTACGTAGGAGGAGAGGAGCTTCTCTAGTAGTTTTAGTTCCAGCCAGTAGATAAAATTGATAAAAGCGGCGTTAAAGAGGACCTACCACGAGCTCTTTGTGTTCGAAATATACATAATAATAGATCATATACGTCCAAATTTTGATTGGGTCTTCTTTCCCCATACTCCATATCCTCCTCACGCACTGCAAGCGCGTGTCCTTTTTTTCAAAACAACACTTCCGTAATTACCCCCAAAGTTTCAGACCAACCTCTGATTAGTAGTAGTCACAGTTATATGTGTATATTCGGTTTAGCGGCTATGTTTGGTTGATGGTCCGAATAGTGTGTTGTGACTACAAAACAATAATAATATAACATTTTATAGTGGGCAAATAAAGTATGCAAAATATGCAAATGATACCATGACAGTATTAATGTTTTGGATATTACGAAAATCTAGAAACACAATTTTCTGTTTCATTCAATTGCGTTTTTTTTTGTTTTTCATACTCCTTTCATGGCATATCCCAATTATAAACAATAGTCCACTTAATAGGTAAAAATGTTATTTAGTTTTTTTAATATGGTGAACAAATAGTTCAATGTATTCGTCCAATTTATCAAAACCAAATTTCACCTTCAATTTATATTACTTTCTTTCCCAAAAAATGAGATAAATTTTTATTTTCTTCAATTTTCAAGAATACAATTTATTAAATTTTAATGAAAAAATACATATAGAAGCAATTTAATGTGTGTATGCCGACATGAATATTCGTGTTTCTCGCAGATTAAATGCCGGATGATGATACACTTTTCAAAGCAACTATTACTACACATAAACTTCAATGTTGGTCATTTCATCATCTCCATGCGTCAATCCCTCCCACTCGACACCCTATCCATATTTCGTGTCTTTAAAGAAAGTTTTGATTTTTCTTGCTTTAACTTTTTTTTATAAAATTTTATTTTGTTGCCAACAATTTATTTCATTATTACTTGATTTATTTTCCGTAAATGACATTTGGTAAATATCTCCGAAAGAGTTCTCATTAATGACAATGACAAGTACAATAGGATCCGAATGTACCCCTCAAGTAATATTCTAAGTACAACAACTAAAAAGATTCATTATATATTATTATCCATTTATCTACTTTTTCAATAATACTATACTTACACCATGCAAATTCATTTATTTTAAGGGAAAATTGGAAAAATTGGGCGAGTGTAGTACTAGGATGGGTGACCTCCCGGGAAGTCCTCGTGTTGCATCCCTTTTTTATTTATGACAAAAAAAAAAAAAAGGGAAAATTGGAAAAAATAGACATATTTTCAAAAGTTTGTCCATATATACCTTTTTTTTGAAATTGTCAATCTTGACTGAACTACCCCTACTAACATATAAATCAAATTTTAAGGGATTTTTAAAGTTGAAAATTATCAAATAATGTAAATAAGTCATTATACATTATATTTGAAGAAAAGGCTTTTCAACTTTTTTGAAAAATAATTGAATTTCACATACAGTAAAACCTCTATAAATTAATACTCGATAAATTAATAACTTCTATAAATTAATAAATTTATCCGGTCCCAAGTTGGGACCAGTGTAATTTTAGACATATTTCGATAAAATAATAAGATAATAATTTTTTTGAAAATCCTTTGTAAATATATGGTCCCATCAAAATTATAAATTAATAATTAGGTAAAATTTTCAAAATATATGTATATATAAACACATTAGTTTTTGTTAGATTTTATTTCTAATATTTTACTATATGAAAAATAGTTAGCATTCTATTTTAATACATAATTATTATTATTTTATTTGTAATTGAATATATAAAATACTAATTATCATGATTAAATCTTATTTTTAAATATTGTTTGAAAATATTTTCCAAATTAGAAATATCTCTCTATTTATCGATAAATTAATACCTCTATAAATTAATAGATTTTCATGGTCCCAACATTATTAATTTATAGAGGTTTTACTGTAGATGATTTTTGTTCTGAAAAGTTTAGAAAACGTTTTCTTATTTCAGAATACGTATTCTTATGTTCTGAAACATTTAGATTATCCATTCTACTATTTTGTACATGTTCTACGAATTTTAGAACAGAAAACATGTTCCAAAAGTTTCAGAATACGAATTTTTGGAATTCAGAATACAAATTCTAAAAATATTCTATGTTCTGCAAAATTCAGAATATGTATCCTACAATTTACTACATGTTCTGAAAAGTGTAGAATATAAATCCTAAAATATTTTTGAATATGTATTCTAAAAAATATTCGGTTATATAAATATGGAAACAAAATCGGATAATTAGGAAAGTAAATAATTCAGTTAGAATCGAATATATGATTCAGATTCTCTACAGATTTTTTCAGAATACGTAATCTGAAAATTTTAGAAGTATTTTTTATAAAAAAAAACGATTGTAACCCTAAATTATGTTCCTAAAACTATAGTCACGACTTCTTCTTCTTTCTTTTCTCCATTCTCTTAAAGTTGTTGAGTTTTTTCTTTTAATTATGATGCAAATCTATGTTACTTGTGGTTTATGGAGATTAGATGCTACTAAGCAGTGGGTATTTATTGATGTTGAAGTAAAACGTGCGAGATTAGTTACTTTGCAATACAGTACATCTTGAGAAACCAAGGAGAAGAAGCGGCGGAGGCTTCAAGGAGAAGAAGCGGCGGAGGCTTAAGGAGACTCTTTTTTTTTCTGATTTTTTTTTCTTTTTCTGATTTTTCTTTTTATGTATTATATGTATTATTGTATTTTATTCATATAAAATACATATACAAAAAGTAACTATTTTTCTTACCAGATCTGATCAAACGAGGCTTATGTATTTGCATTGTCTTAAAATATTTTTGTATATGTATTATTGTATTTTATGTATTAAGAGATGATCTGGACGAGGCTTATGTATTATATGTATCTTTTTATGTATTATATGTATCATTTAACAATAGTTACTTAATTATAATTGAGGGTATAAATGGAGTTTAATTTTTCAAAAAATCTTAATTCACCAAACTTTTTTAAAAAAGGTATATATGGACAAAGTTTTTAAAAAATGTCTCTTATTTCCAATTTTCCCTTATTTAAATTCATTACCGAAATCTCATTTATTGCTCATTTAATTAAAAGATTCCTTTTCTTCTTATGCGGGATTATAATTCAGAATAAATCAAATCTTGAAGGACCTTAAAGCAAATATGAGAAAATATATAAAAAATAGGAAATACACGCGCTTGCCTATAGAAAGGACCTCTCTTATCCCACGCGTATGTTTATATATCTTCCCGTAAGCTCTCTTCTCTCTTCTTAATCGTCTCTCTCTCTCTCTCTTCTTCGACGTGCTCCGGTGAAGATACAACCCGACGAGAACCCCCCCTGGCACTGGCACTGGGCGCCATAACGACACAAACACAGCCCTTACCCTCCCCCGTCATCCTTGGCTATTAAATTTACCGTTTTACCCCCTTTGCTGTCACCCTGAGACGTCTTTTTTTGGAAATATTCTTCTTCTTCCATTCCAAGTAAACCCAATTTCTCTCTCTCTCTCTCTCTCTCTCTCTCTCTCTCTCTCTCAAATTTCAAATTCTTGGTTTCTCTGGTGATAAACCATCGGCTCTGTTTTTTTTTTTTATGTTCGCGGTTGTTGTTTCGGACATTAATTGTGGTTTTGATTTTGATCTGATCCGTTGTTTGTGTGTGGTTCAATTTTCTCCGGCCATTGCTGTTTCTGTTCGCCGGCGTTCGGTATTCATTCGATTTAACGAGCTTCCTTTATACCTAGAGATTCTAGAGTTTCCTTTTTTATTAAGTAATCTCAATTTTGACTAAATCCTCCCCATATTTATGTTTTCTTTACAATCACATCCACCATTTTATCTCTAGAATCTTTCACCACTTTCTCTTGTAATATCTATGGATAATTCTCTCAATCATGGTAATGACGAATTCTTACTGAACTCTGTTTTGTTATTTTCCAGTGATTTTCAGGGAATTTGAGGTCAATTTGACGTTTAATTGGAAAATTGGGAGATAATAGATGGGGCATGAAACAAAATGTGTTTTCCACTTGTCGAGTCTCCAGATCGGGTACATGTTATCTCTCTCCCGCTTCTCTTTGATGGCAATTGTTTTCTTAGTATATTCAGAGATCAATGATTCTGTAACTTTTATGTCTATGAAAATTATATGTTTACAAGTACAAGAAAGTAGTTTCCTGTTTTGTGTTTGCTTTTCCATTATTATATAAGCCTTGCTCTCAGCCATTGTTGGACCTTTCTAGGAAATTTATATCTTCTACTTTCAGACAAAACAACATCTGTTTTGGTTTTTGACAGTTTCTTTTTAGAGTTTGGCTTTTTTTCTTTTCTTTTTGTTGGTTCCTTTCCTTATTTTGTATGTAAGCTGAATCCAATGCCTGTAGAATTTCGATGCAGGGCTTAGGTTCTTTTCCTGAATCTGAAGTAGTATCTGTTCTTGTTGTTAATCACTTTTAATATTCCCTGTGAAATTTAAGTATAGCTCAAGCATGTGTTCTTGCAAAATTCCAGCAATAGGATTATTAGTTTGCGTGTTTGCATCAAAAAAGTTTACTACATTGTCACATTTTATTTGCCTGATGTTGTTCTTTGCTTGTCTGGTTAAGCTTTGTTTTACTTTTCGTTTGTTTCAGAGACTTGCAGTCATATCTTTCTGATCTCAGTATTTTTCTGGGCAACAAAAGTAAAAAGATTTACATATTGGTGGACAACCGGCCATGGTTGAATCCTGGCACCAGATCTGCTCATTTCTGGCAACTTATGGTTACAAAGGTTGTAACAGCTGCTTCAACTTTATTTCTTGTTTGTGTTGTCCAGGTGAAAATTTATGATGAACTGACCCATCTATCTTTGTTTGCAGTCCAGACTTTCCCCTTTTGCAAACACGAAAGGTCGAGGGGAGAAGAAAAATCAGAGGCAGGAGGAGGAGAAGATGGAAAATCCAAAGCAGAAGGAGGAGCATAAGCCTAAAGAGACGTGTTCTCAGCCCCAGCCTAACGATAGAAAGATGAAGAAGCTTAAGAAGTGGTTCTCATTGATAGATGCCACAACTTTTTCGAAGAAGAAAATACCTGCTAAGAAACTGCAGAGCGCTTTGTTTCTAAAAAAGCAGCTACACAAGACCTTGTACGGTTTCATCGTGTTTGAAGTTGAATGGGCCAATGTCAGGGGTATCAATTACTTGAATGAACTACTGGTACCCCTTGCAACTGTCCATTGTTTTGCTCTCCCAGTTTATATTTTTTCTTGTTTCTTACTTGATCTATATTTCTTTATGTAGACAGACACGTCTCTTGCTATAGAAGCTAAGTTGATGCGAAGGTGGGAGTTTGAGAGTATCGATCAAGCTGTAAAAAGCATGTCTCAGTGGTTCTCTGGATCAAAAGCTGAAAAGTCTTGCTTGAGGGAATATCTCGACTCAACTATAGGTATGATAATTTGCTCTGATTTAGTTTTGAAATTCTTTTTCATCAGCAACTTTGCTTTAATTGGTGATATATCTGACATGCTTTTAACCTTTCACCTTTATGGCTCCCTGGGTTAAATAAGCTTATAGTATTGTAACTCTTGCAGGAGAGGTTTTTTATGACGCTGAAGCAGAATTCTCGAAAACTTCTCCTGTTGATGATGATGACAACCTCAGCAGCGACAATCTTTCTGGTGAATATGACTCTCCTTGCTGCTCCAGAAGTGTCTTCAACGTTAATCATTCTGCTGCAGATTATGATGAAAACGAGCCTCACACACCGCCTCTGACTGGACCGTACAAGAGAAGAAGAGTAACTAAGGCAATCAGTACCGGAGTTGAAATTGACTATATGGAGGAGACACCAAAAAGAAAAGATAACTCTGTGGACCATTGGGAAAGCCATGTACCTGATGGTGAGAACATCATTGAAGCAACCCAATATAAGGATCTTCTAGTTCTTGTTAGGTGTGGTGACCGTGATCTCCCTTTCAAATTGCGAGAGGTTATAATGGCTGACATACGCTTGCTGACTTTACTAGAAGCTGGTCTCCCTTCATGGGTCTTGTTTCTGCAGTCTTATCCTGGTTTCTGTCATCTTTACCGACCCTGGATGTGCCTTTTTGCGAGAGCATTATATGTGATGATATCAGTCGTCACCGTTGTGATTGGTTTTTATGACCTGTACAAAAATGTCCCTGTTCTGAAGGCCACTGCATCTCGGTTATGCGGTCCACTCTTTGATTGGGTTGAAACTTGGGACATGGTATCACGGATAAAGTACTTGGGAACGATGTTGTTTCTTCACAATTTTCAGAAAGCTGTCAAGTGGGCTTTAACCATGGCACGTGCTATTCAGCCATTTGTTTCTTTACTCATAATGCCTCTGGTAAATCCTATCATAGATACTCTCGGTCTACTCCTACCTTTGTGGAATTCATTGGCAGAAACAGTGGCGAGCTTGGTTTCAGTAGTTTGGATAGTGATCGAGTCTGGCTGGAATCTTGTTGGTGATGTGGTAGAATTGGTGTTTTTGCCCATTTGGTTTATTGGCTCACTAGTTTGGAACGTCAGTAAGTATATTAACCGTCTGCTTGAGCATTATTATTCTTATATTTTTAAGAATATAATCATAATCCTGATCTCTTTTTTGTTTTCGATTCTACAGCAAATACTGTTTTACTCCCTCTATTCTGGATCATATGGGAAGTGGTATATGCACCGATCAGAGTGGTTGCTGCCTTGGCCAGTGGTTTATCTTTATCCTTCTCATACATATTCGATGTTCTTGGAGATTTATGGAGGTATATGAGCAGCGTACTTCAGGTTGCATCAGATTCTCAAGCAGCTGTGAAGACTTATGAAGTCTCCATGTGGCGTACGCTTTGGAACGACCTCTTTTCTCATGTCAGTAAAAAGTTTGAAGACAATCAAAAGTATCTAAATCTTTTGCTACTTCGATTGTTACTAAATGTGTTTTGCTTCATTTTTTCAGGTTTTTCGTGCTGTCAGGAGTATACTGAACGGTTTTGTGGCCTTCTTTGCTGCCTGTAACAGACATCGGCTTAGGTAAAGCATTGATAGCGCACACATATACACATTGCGCTATGACCATTTCTGACATCTATTTCTCTCACACACGTTTACACTTTTTTATATAAGTAGTTCTGACATATTTTTGTGATCTGGTTTTCTTTGCAGTACATATAATCACATACAAGACTTTATGGAGAGACTACATGGACGAACCACGAGACCAGAATCTCTAGACTCAAGACATGGCAAATCTGCTAAGAGCAATCAACGTACAGTAAGTTTTTACTAAAGTCATCAATATTCTTCTCATACTTGGCATATCTGCGTTTCTCACATCGGTTATGATCATGTTTTGCAATTTGCAGGGAGACGGAACTAGAAGGAAATTGCACCTTGCATAGAACTCAAAACCAAATTCTCAATTCTTTTCATTTTTTGTTCTCTCCTTTTACCGGATGTGATAGGTTCTTAGAGTATGTATATAGATAGGTTTTGTGTCGCAGTCTGGCAGACGCCAAGAAGCATTGTCCCAAATCTGGCAAATCATGTTGTATATAGGAAAGGAGTCACACTCACACACACTCACGCTTCTTGCAAATATCCTAGTGACGTCCTCCTCAGAATTGGTAAGTTTTGGATGTATAAACGATAACAAAAAAAGAAAAGAGAGCATGAAGACTAGAGCTTAATCAAACTGTAGAACATGCAACTGTTTCGATTTTATATATGTATTTGGAAGAGTTCACACAAATTAAGAAAATTTTAAATTATACATGTGTCAATATTTTGACATGTAATAAATGAATCAAGGGAGAATTTCATAAATACCACTATATGATTTTTATTTTCAATAATACTATTATTAGTTTTATTTATAAAAATACCACTAAAATATTTTATCTAAAATATCACAAAACTTTAAATTTCATTTTTAACATTCAAAAGTAAATCCTAAATCCTAAACACTTATCCCACCCTTAAAAGCTATACCCTAAATATTGAATAGTAAACCCAAGTTTCAAAAATATTTTACACCTTTAAAAATCAATTTTTATGTTTATGGTATTTTGAGAAAAATAAAATTTTATCTATTTTTGGAAAATAAACTTAAAATATGGTATTTTAGAGAATTTCTCATTAGTTAAATTCTCATATCTAAAATGATAAATGAATTAAATTTAATAAAAGTTGTTTTGGATTAAGCGTAAATTAGAAAGTTTAGTGTAAAAACACACATTAAAGTATGTTACATTGGCGCAAAATTTTGGCAAGGTATGATTTCACAAAGATAAATTTCTTTATAAAACAAACGGAGTAAATCAATATTATTGTTTCGGGGTGGAGGCAAGTGATTCCAGTCCTTAACTCGACTTGCTGAGCCGGAAGTGGGATAAAGTTCTCAACGTAAGGAGATATAACACAAATGTCATCAGGGAGGCTATGGAGCGTGTCTGTCTCTGAAATATATTTGAACAAGTAGTTGTTATTGTCAGAAAATACAACATCCCCTTGATTAGAGAGGATCACGGGTGTGAAGGACCTGGAGTACTCCACCATACCAAGAGAAGCTAAACTAATGGAGTGAGTCTTGCTCCATGTTTCTTTATGTGAATCCATACTCCATATCTCTAGCTCGTATTGGTGAAGAGGATGGGAAACGGGCATGGCTATGGCAAGACGATCGTTAATGTTGACAATTTGTGCTTCAAACACGATGCCCTTGGGAAGAGGTGGACGAGGGACCGCACGAAACTCTTCTAAGTGAAGATCCAAGGCTAGTATCGTGTAGATAGAACCGCTGACATGAATTCGTAACCAGTAGATTGATCCGTCGACACACGTAGATTTTCTTCCGACATCAACCTTGTAACGACTTGGTTTCCAAAGCTTCCGCCATTCACCAGTGTTGACATCAAGGATATCGCAATAGTTAGGATTACGGAAGATCCTAACTACTTTATAGCAACCCTTAACGCTGTCTCTACCAAATCCCATCGCACAATATCCCGGAAAATAAGTCGTCCATGATTCTGAAAAATTTGAATTCATAGCTTTAGAGATTAGACCAACCATATAATATATATAAATATGATCCTACCAAAAAAAAAAATTGACTCACAAGTAAAACTAGATATGGCATACCTTCGTGAAACTTAGCGGAGTTGGGACAGGGATTCAAGAGGGAGGGGCAATGGAATCGCCGGAGTTGACCCGTGGAGGGGTTCACCACGTCGACCAACTCTGCTTTGGGAAAACAAACCAAACCGTCGTAACTCATCGACGGTCGTGTCGCGTCACAGTGCAAATAGACAAACTCTAGGCTCCATAGGAAGTGCTGCAGCCCGTTGAGGATACTCGTGGAGACGCCGCAGTCGCAGTGGTAGGCCAGAAGGATATTAGGGCGAGACTTTGCAAGACTGAGATGTCTCTCCACGAACCACTTTGATTCCAGTATGGACTTCCATTCTTTCGACACGCTTTTGAATCTGCCGAGAGATTTCAGGGGAAGCCTAAGGAACAATTCTTCAAGAACATTTGAATTCAAGTTCGAGTTTCCTACTTCCATTGAGTTTTCTTCTCTTCTTTTTACCAACATTCGATAGGTTTCTTTCTCTATATATATTATTGTCCTACCTTAATACTCCAAAAAAATCTAATAGTCTTTGGAAAAGATGAACAAAGTTATTAAAAAAAACAACCTAATTTTTTTTTAAATGAAATATAATTAAAAAAAAAAAGATAGATAACAGGCTCGAGTTATCTAAAAAATAAATTTTATTTTCCTTTATTAGTGGATGATCTCATGTTTGGCATTCTCATATTATTTTATTTTTTATTTACTTTCGCGGTTGATTTGATTTGATTTTTGTTTTGTTAATTTTCTGTAAAAGTTAAAAATATTATCCTGACTCACGTTAACCTTAATGGCCTGTGGGAAACGGTGAACAGAATGAGTGGACTCGGATTAACTCGGATGTGACTCACCAATGAGAGGTTTGGTCGTATAATGTATGTGTCATCGCGTTACAGAACCAGTTAGTCTTAAGATTCAGTTAAGTCAAGTGATAGCTTCGCCTTCGTGTTATCATCATGATAAGGATGATTCTGATGATGAATAAAAAAAACCTAACTGTTGTTTTGTCTATGATCTCGTTCGGACACGTTAGTTTTTGTTTTGAATTATTGTTACTTGTTAATTAGTTCCTCTCTAAAACTAACTTATATATACAATTAGATTAGATGATACAAATAATGTATTTTTTTTAACTTTTGAATGAAGTTTGGCTGTGACCCAAAAAGAAACGATGATGAATAAGTATCACTTTCAAAAACAAAGATTCGGTGGTTTGCAACAGAGGATGAAGAAAGATGAGCACATGATTACAAATGGCATGGTTGGGGCTTTTGGACTTTCTTCAGAGTTCAGAATATATATAGTGAACATTTCTATGTATATAAATATAAATGTCTATATGAATTTTTTTATCTAGCTAAATGATTACATATAGATATATCTATTACATTATTAGCTTACAAAAGAAAAGGAATATATTCTTCTTCTTCTTCTTCTTCCAATTATTGTTGTTATATATTTCTTTAATAATTCAGGAGAAAAAGAAAAGAAAACAAAAACCAGAAGAATATGATGATGATTCCTTTGGTTAACTCATGGTTTCTCTCCTCTCCTTTTGTTATTCAACTATGTAAAAAAAGGACTGACCGATTGATCAAATAACCTTGACGTTTTTTTTTCATTTTACCTATTGGTGCAAGAGAAAGACATTGGTATGTGCTTCAAGTTTGAGACGTCGAATAACTCCATGAACCTTTGATCCGAAACTCTAGCTTTAGCCGCTGCAAATCGCTGGTACTCGTCGAATATCGATGTCAAGCACCATTTCTGGAGTTTCCTCATGCATCCAACTAGACACCCGGTTCTGTGCTGCAATATGATCATGGGCCATATATATGCCTTGTGTGTCAAAACAAAGAAATGAAAACTCATCGACTAAAACAGTCAGATTCAGCTTTTTTACATACCTTGCCTCGTTTGCAATGAATCAAAAGTGGATGGTTCTTCTCATCTGAGGGTTAAAAACAAGAGAGAAATTAGAAGATACAGTATATATCTTTATGTTCCTTTTAGGGCTTCTATGATTTATACCTAGAAGGACTTTGAGTGCTTCACGGATTTTATGATCTAGGATATCTACAAATGGCTCCTGCAAAAATGAGGGTTACACTATTAGTTCCTTAGCAAGTCTTTAGTCACACACAAACCCGGAAAAAAATGTATAGAAATTACGAAGAGACATGTTTAATCTGTCGTCTATAATCATTCTTTAGAAACCGAAATTAATATTAAGAAAACAAAAAGAAAACTAGATTAGTTTTGGCTATTTCTTAGAGACTGTAAAAGAGCTGTGGAGTATATTCTATCTTCCTATTATTAAAAGTTAGGCACACAGCAAAAAATATACACAATATCAAAGAGGGCCATCAAAAGCAGGCAATAATGAAAACGAAAATGATTTCCTATGAAGACTAGAGAGTTGTCACACCAAACATAAAGAATCTTAAGCCAATAAGCAGATCTTAAACTAGAGAGACACAACAAACAAAATATGAGTGTGGAATATTCATTACATTTCTAGTCAAATCATTCTAAGAAGAAGATATGTAAAAGCCACTTTACCATGTTTAGTCTAAAAATCTAAAAAGCAAAAAAGTTGGAAAAAACTATCATATATTTGTAAGAACAGAATTGACAACACAAGGGTGAATTTGTGGGAAAAAGAACGATCAATACCACAATAGCACAATTATATTTACCTTTCAGACTTCTCTTTCTAGTATAATAAAGCAATCTAGATAAATATCAAACTAGCCGCCCCATCACAAGTTGTACAAACTGATCTTCCACAATCTAATATATTGTTCAACTAAAGTAACATGTTCTTATTCATAAAAGAAAAGAAAAGAAAAACTAAAGTAACATGTTTGGTTGGCTTCTCTTATGGCTGCATTTGAAATATCAAAAGTTTACGATCAGGTTTTGTTATTCCCTCCCTTAGCTTATACCAACAGTTCCTTAAATGAAAAGTCATTTTACCCAAACATATGAGCCACTAAAACATACTAAAGCAACAACAACATATAGTTAGGTATATGAAACAACAGTAACTGCCATATAACTTAACCATCTATCACTTTCACTGTTAATCCCAGCTTGATTAAGGTACTATACCTACCGGTTGATATGTGGATACTTTTACCATTAACACATTGTCGACAAGTCACACTATCCACAAAGTTTTCACCACCAAAACCCAAAAAAAAGCTGAGGTACATTTTCTACTTCAACTACAACTTGTACAACCACTAAGAAACACTTTTCTTTTAGCTATTTTTAATTTAAGATTACATAAGATATCATTCAGGCATTAAAGTGCACACGCAACAAATATGAACCAAGAAAACAGTATCAACAGAAACACAAAGGAAAGTAAAAACTTTCGAGTAGTGGATCTCTGACAACACTTGTATGCAAGGTAGCTAAGTATTTTTCTTCGACGCAGCCCATTATCTAAATTTTATATAAAGGACCAAGTGGTATTAGTTGATGAAGGGCAAGGGCAAGGGCAAGCAAACAAACAGTGGGACCTATGGAGTCAATGGTAACGGACAGAGCCAAGAAAAGCATCCTTCAATAAAGCATTAAAGAATGGTGAACACTTTTTCTTGGGCGGTCTCTTATATAATAATAATATGGATTAGAATAGTCTCTTGAATGGTTAAGTCCAAGAGTCCAAGACAAAGAAAAATCCATACATGAAATGCCATTCTTGTTGTCTAAATCACAACATAGTACCTAAGCAAATTACTACTCCTAAGGAAACATGAAACCTAGAGAGACATGCATGCTCAAAGAACAATTAGGCAACATTAAGCAAGTCAAAATGTGTGACTAGAAGTCTAGATAGTATTCAGATCAATACCGAAGTTTTCGAATTTCCATTTGTATAGGAACCTTCTTTGTGATGCTTAGAACCCCAAATATGCAACCAAACCTCGTTCTCTAGTCCAGGCAGACACTGCAAATTCAAGATATCCAAAGTGATAAGAAATTTTCAATTTTGAGAATCCCCTTTTTTTGAATTCAGGTTTAAAGAAATGTAGAACAAAGGCAGTGGCGAAGCAATTAGCTAGAAATGGACATTTATGAACAGAGAGAGTGCAAATTAAAAAAGAGACACACCTTGGACTTGGAGCCGTCAATGCCAAACTGGAAAAGACTAATCCCATTGGATTTGAGGAACTGCATGTTGTTCTCAGGATACGGCTCTGGACACAAAGATCTTCACACATTTCCCATATGAACAAAACCAAAACACACAAAAACCTAAACTCAACAAACTCCAACGTTTTCATTACAAGAGTCAATTTTGATCAAGATTCTTGGAAGCTTACATGATTGAGCGAAGGCCAAGAGTCTTGATGAAGGAGAAGTTGGCTGTGTCCGGGAATCCAGACCGGAAGATACCGTTATCGACCATAGCAAAGTTCAACGGTGGAATCAGGTCGCCGGAAACCTCAAGCAATGGTGCAGTAGCAGCAGTAGCACCAGCAGCTGGCGGCGGAGATAGGCTTCTCCGGTCAACCATAGCTACCTCGATCTTCTGGAAACCCTGACCTCTGTCTTCCTCCTCTTCTTCCATAGTCATAAACTTGGTCTTGTTCATCGTCTTCTCAATCAGTTTCATCCTCTCTCTCTCGAGCTAAGTTAAAGAATCTAAAACGAGTTCGATTGGGAGGCTTCTTGGAGTGTTGAATCTGAAGATCTTATCTTGTTTTAGGTTTCTTGTAAGGTTATGGACAAGTAATGGAGGTAGTCGTTATGAATCGACGACCTTGCTTTATATAGACACGCCATTGTAGAGAGAGAGAAAACTTATGTTGTCGCTGTTGGACTTTTAGAGAGAAATGGATAGAAAATAAAAAGAAAAAGAACATTTGGAGGAGATGAACGAGACTTGCGTTTTCGATCAAATTGTTTTTTCTAAAATAATAACGCAACAATTAATTAATTTAAATTCGTATTTTTTTTGGAAAAGGATGTTTAAAAAAAAATCTCCTAGTGAAAGTGAAAATACGACTTTATTAAATTGAAGGAAAGCTATGGTGGTGGTGGATCGACGTATAAAAATACAAAAATAGAAATTTAAGCTAATTGGGAAAACCACAAATCGTTTTCAACCCAAACACAATATTCAATTGGGTGACGGAAAACAAATTACTATAGAAGGTATTTTATTTTATTTTATTTTATTGCAAAGTACTTTGTATATTAGACCATGTTCATTATATGAAATATGAACCGATAGTAGGTTAAAACTTTTAATTATGGTGGTATATGTAAACAATTCCACGTATATTATATTTTAAAAACAATACAACAAATCAAAAATGTTTTTTTTTCTAGGTATTTATCAATCAAAATAGATATTTTTTTTCTGTCAATAATAACATGCAATATAAAAATTTGATTCCAAACTATAACACAAT